GGACTGACTGCCACCGTAACAGGTCTCACTGACTCACTGTTCGCTTACCAAGGATTTGAGTTGTCCGTGCTGTACCGTTTCTGGCATGGAGTTGACAACTAAAACTAAATGTGAGGGTCCTGGCGTGAAAGACCAGAGCACAGAGAAATTGAGAACTGTGGCTGCCATGGCCTAGAAGGGCGCAGAAAAACACGTCACAAGCCACAGGGTTAGCTTCTTCAGGGGAGGGAGGTAGTCTGAGGGGGATGGACTACCTGAAACTCGTGAAAAGTTACGTGTAAGGCCACAGTAGTTGCAGTACGTCATGCAGATGCTAGTGCAGAGAAAAACAGAAGAGTACTGCGTTGAAGGGACTGAGTTCAGGTGGTCTGTATTTTCGCTGTTAGACTGAGAGTAAGACTCCAAAATCCGATAACTGGCCTGCTACCTTAACCTGCTGCTCCGATTACCCAAGATCGAGGTTATTGCCCAGATCAAAAAAGAGCGTAAAAGTCCTATCAAAAAGGCTGTTCTGACACTTTTGAAGTACTAGACGTGATCCTGTAGGGACCTTATGCTTTTCTATAGTTCAACGAAATTCAACGCAAAGAACTTCTCCGAAGAAATGAAAGGACAGTACTTAGTATTTAGGGCTAACAATAAGACTCGTCTAGAACTATATTCATGTATGCTGCGGATGCTGGGGCGTGTCAAAAGGGCTGTATGTGGCGCGGCGCCAAGTTGCATCCCATCGATGTCACTTGCCCGCTTCGACTATTGGAGGAGAACGGGTTGGCACCGCGCCAAACCCAGCCCCGTGGTAAACCCCAGCATCCGCCGCGAATAAGACTGCATTTAGGTGGCGAGAGTAGTGGAAATTACCTTTCTCTTCCGCAAAAGCCTGTATCCTAGATAGACTGCCACAGTAGACGATACAATGCACAATATTAGTAGCATGACCATGGCTAGCATCAGCGGTACTGGAATCCGTGAAGTCGACACTAGGCATTGCTCTGTTGACCTTGATGACACTGAAAGATCACTTTTGAATATTCATTCTAGGAACGGGCATTATGCCCAATTTTGGCCGCGTGGACTCGCCGCATTCATCAACGCGGAGATGAAAAATCGATCGACGCCCTGCTGAACAACACGCGCCGCTCACGTCATGATCTACCAATGATCACCTTTGCTACCCTATGCACTGCTAGCTCGTTTTGCGCGTTTCTAATGATACATATGTCTGAAATCCCTGCTTAGTTCAATCCCGCGCCACCAGTGCAAAACCTTTACATATGTCCTGCGCGATTTGATGAAGTGTTTGCGCTGATTTTGCCCCTCTTGTATATTGATTGAACATTAGTCTAAACGGGAGCGCATACATACTGTGAATACAAATGAGCACCTTCTTCTGTTTCCATATCATCCAGAATTGTAAGGGATTCTCTCACAGAAACCTGATCATACACATCGTCTTTGCTGAACGGCGGAGTTATTGCTCTCCGGTGGCGAAATCGAAGCCGTTCCGCTGTCAGATTCGAATTCGAAATCCGTTTGAAACAACTCTGAAAGAAACTGGTTCAATGGAAATTGTTCTTGCAACTTATTGATCGGGTTAGGGACCAGTGGGGCGATCCCTAGTATTTCTGAATACTGTACTATTTATTATACGTGGTCACTGAGTGAAAATGCGGGAAATGTGAAAGGAAAAACTATGAGAATGGATCATCATTATCACGTAACGAATTCCCGTCATGTGCACGAAAAAGGCAAGTATATTGTCACCAATTTAAACGTGCGAGTGCTGTAAGGTTACGGCATAAGCCGTTAAGCTGAGAGGGTAAAAGCGGCCCTGGTGGCGTAACGGATAGCTCGCCCGGAAAGCGTGAGGTGCGGGTTCGACTCCCGCCTGGGGCACGACTTTTGCCCACAACTCAGCATTCTTGTGATAACAAGCATAACGTCGCAATGAGTCAGGGCGGTGTCAGGAAGGGCGGAATGCGCTTACCTTCCGCTGCCTTGCCACCAATGGTGATCGCTTAAGGAAGAAAACAACCAGTAAACGTTGGCAATCCATCTCTCTGACCTTATGACTGAGATGTTATCAGCTGTACTTTACGTGGTGCTCCGAGAGCTCACAAGCCCGTGCCACATTTTTATTGTCCATGTGAAAGTGATTCGGAGTACTTCTTGCTTCTCTTGAACACTTTCACCTCCCAGTGTAGGCCGAGTCCGATAGCGCACATTATTTCCTCCCAAAATAATTGCTTGCTTATTTTTAGCAGAAGTGAAAATTAACCGCTACTCAAAAGGCGCATTGGGGAGGGTGCGCGACGGGAGAAGTTGCGTGCACTGGTCGTGTGCGCTTTCCTGAACTGGGTGAGGAGGGTAAGGGATAACTATCTTGGTGAGCGCGCAGAGGAATGCTACTGATCGCCGGGAAGTCGAAAGCTCACCGGCGGCGCGCACGCGATGCGTGTCAAGCGATGGCGTGGGTGGGAACTGGACTCTTACCGTCTACTACCACTGCCTTGTAATATAAATGTATTCGGTGACATTTGTTAATATATGTTCACCACCCGTCAAAAGCGCGGATGCGTGTACTAATAACTTTAATCGGTATCTCCAGTGGAACAAACCTGTTCTCTTCTTTAAAGGAGCGGACCGCGATGACCTATGAAAATGCAAGAGGTTATGTGGGAAGGTAGTGCGGTCCGGAGTGGACAACCCTGTGCCAGTTTCGCGGCGGAAAGTTGTACGGTAAAGGGATTAAGGCGCAAAACTGCTTCAGTGTTTTCCAGTGACTCCGCCTCCAGACTCCGCCTCCAAAGTCGGCCTTCCAGCCAAAAGTAATGCTCCGGGCAAGTATCATGGAGTGGATGCATTCAATGTCTCTTGTAGAGTCATAGGGTTCATTACTGGAAATCAGCCGACGGGAATTGTCCCAGCGCGCGGTCTTTTTTTACCTCTACAGTTGTTTGAGGCTAGAGGAGGCCTGACGAATGCGTTTCCAACGTTCCCTTTGGCATTTTCTCTTCATAGATGGTTCACTTGGCGAATTTTCTTCCACATTTCTGCAAATCACCTAGGCTTTTTATCGCGGACCGTGCCTTTGAAATACCTTCCATTTTTGAATGTGGCTCTTGAATTCCAGATGATTTTTCCCCCTAGCCTTCCCTCCATATGCTCATTTTTTATCGGAGACGTTTCAAAAAGATTCTAGTCCTCGGAGTGTTGCGACACGGCCTTGGTCCGCACACATCCTTTGCCGCGCTGTCGGTGCGACGATGAACAACACGCTCCGCGTACGCGCTGCCGATGAGCTTTTTGTGGCTCGTGATCCCTCCCACTTACAGAGGCTGCTCAAAAGTTAGAGAAAGTCATGCCTTACTCACTTGTACGCATTCCGATCCAACAAGGCACACCTGCACCGTGCATTGTGCGAATACAGTGCTCTGATTTCCAAAGCGAAAGGTTTTGAACTTTGAAAAGTAGACTTCCTCATTGACATTAGCCAACGGGTCGATAATCTCTGACATCTCGTGTACTGGACAGCTGAACAGTTTAAGTTGAACGTAAATGTAGTAACTTTCGTAAAGCTTCTTGTCCGTCGCTCTACCATGTCCCACCTGCTTTGGACAAATGTGAGATGCCGGGCATCGGGTGAAAGCATATCTTCACGATCGCTGAACATGCACTCCTTCGGCGAGATACCGTGATACGCTTCTGGAAATGGATAGTGCATAATTGGATTCGCTGGTAGTACACATGCACTCTATATCTAGAAATGGGCTGGGCGTGGCTACATACGTGGTTCATACGCAGCTGCACTTTCGGTAGATTTATGTCCTTGAAGACAACTCGGATCATGTATTTTTCCAACTCAAGAAGGAACGGCAGTTGTCTCAAAGAGAGTGGTACGTCTGCTGGGCATGCGCGGTTGTCGTCAGCGTCATTGGTGGAATTGCTGATAGAGGCCACACCCCACTCAGCCCCTCCACCAGTGACGTTGGCAACAAAGGCCCGCTCCAGCAGCTGTACTCGCTGCCTTCAAATGGAAATATTTCACTGGAAACGCATTCTATATACAAAGGAAGTATGCAGCCACGCCCTTCCCCCTTCACAGGCATGAGAGGTGTACTTATTTTTAGAGCACTGGTGCTACTTACTATCTGGTGTCAGAGCAACGTAAAATTCTACAGTATCGCCGAATTTAGCTGTTCTTAGTGGTCGTCCATCAGTGCTTCGGAACATCATTTCAACTTTTGGTTTCGGCTTTCCACCGGTCGATGCCAAAACTTCATGTGCTCTGGAACATACAGAATTTTCGCGTAAGGACCTAATAAAACGTGAATCCAGGCAGGACTTACGTCGAAACGTCACTGTATCTAATCGTCTGTACACTTCGAGTGTAGAGGCAGAACACGTGATTGATTCGGATCACTTTGGCTATGCTTGTGTCCACATTATCTTCGAGCGCTATCGTAGTTTCAGCGGTCCGGTAGTTTGGTTCCTGAATCAGGTCCGCTCTCAATACATCGGCTTTTCAAATGAATGGATTATACTGAAGTATTCTACATTGTTATTGTGTTACTGATAAATAACTTATGAGAACAAACCAGGTCAGCCAGGTGAACATCGCAATGTTTTCCGTATGGTATCGTTAGATTGTAGTTCTGTTGGCCTTTGTCGTTCTTCAGCGATGTTCCGCAAGGCACAAGGGTTTTGTGACCGTAGACATATACCTAGAATAAATACCGGTACGACATTTTCCGATCGATAGTGACTAGCCCAGGTGGCATTTCGTTGAGCACCATGAAAAGGGGCAAAGACTGTGGAGTCGGATAGCGAGGGGCGCTAATGCAGTTGAGGAACCACTCGCCAGCGCATCCGGACCCGTTGCCCTAACCTTGGCTTAGGTGTAGTGGAGACCATGTCTTTCTCCCCCTCTCCCCCCCCCCGTCCTCCGACAAACGCTAGCGCCGCGCGGGGCACACAAATGTGCGATTATGTCGTGTCGTTTTTATGAAATGTCACAGTTTGCCACGTTTTCCGAAAGTTTACAAAGGTATGCGACGTGTTCCTATCTGCGATCGATTTTCCCGCGCAAAATACACCAAAAACCAAAAGCAATACCATTTCGACACCGTTTCAGCAAGAGGACGCAGATGAGCAGACGGTGGCATAGTCGGAATCAGGAGCATACGTCCTGCAGTTCGGAATATTTTCGCAAAATGGCCCTCGAAGCTTGCTCTTCCGGTATGACTTCCCTTCTCTATACCTACCATCTTCCTAACTTACCCCGAATTCCTAACTTTTCCCGGAGTTTTTTTTTTCGAGAGTCGCTCCCTTCTTATCCAGAAACTGCCGTCGAGCACGGGCAGGGGTCTGACGCACTTAAAAGGGAAAAACTCGAAAAAAATTCAACAACCGAAAACCTTTCCCCACAGAAAACTACGACCACCCTCCTTTCCTCCTGCAGCGACCAATTACGACCCGCTCAGAGGGGATTCCTTACGTAGAAAACGCCCTGGCCGGTTTGCCGCTCCTCCTCAGACTATCACTGTCTTAAAAACAACTACTCACCACAGGTTGCGATTTTGGATCGTTCATCCACCGAGCAATGTCTGGATCTGATCTGTTAAGCATGACTGTGAGACTTCCAGACGAGCATGACACCTCATCCACTGAAACGAAACTACTACAGTAATCTCATCTCTGAATAAAACGACATTAATCTTCTGATCTATATTTTTTGGAGAGAAATGAAATCAAGGGGGTTTTCGGGCCATTTCGGGCCACTTCCTTGGCTAAACTCTAGCGGGGTAAGAACAGCATTGTTAGGGGCGCTAGGTGATAGCTGGTATTGAACTGCTACCTTACATTTTCAGCAGTACAGAAGCATTTCAGTGCATCGTGTTCCAATGGCTTAGTTATTGCGATGCTTCGCGTTGGTCACGAACAGGTGCCTTCAAGGTCTATGATTGGCGAATCGATCCGAGCACGAATGACGTTCGGCGACGCGCGTTGCCGTCTCATACTGCGCAAAGCACACAAAAATGAGGTGAGCTAGCTTTAAACGCAAATCTGATTTTCATGGCGAAAAATGTTGATTTTGATGGCGGAGTGTGCAACAAAGAAAGTTGAGAAAGTTGGGTAGGCATCATTACTCAAAAGTCGCGGCATCGCGTGCAAACATGCAGAGGGTCTCCTGGCTAGTTGACTCAACGCATCGCCACGAAAAGTCGATTCAGTCTCAAACGCTTGATTGATTTGAGCGAACTGCGACCACTCAACAGTCAATTTGTGATACGAGATGTTCCGTCACTCTACTGATTTCACTCATTCAGTAACCATAAAATGTACAAAGGTTCAAATATTTCAGAAAGACAGCTTGTCCATGGTACTTTTATTACTTTCAGAACCCATGACCTCACAAAAAACAAATTTACTGTTGCTAGGCGAGTTTTCTATCTAGGACCAGCATCAGAGTCCTATAAAATTTCCCATGGACTTTCCAGACCATCATTGGTTACTTCGAGTAGAATTAAATGCCTTGATTGCAATCAACAGCTCCTTGCTACGTGGTCATTCGAATGAAACTGGTATCATTTCGCAGTTATCATATCGTTCACGTCATATTCGTGCTCATTCACGAAAATGTCCCCCCCCCCTCAATGCTGGCGCCCAGATTAAATATTCAAAAATAGCCCTCAAGATGGCACGAGGATCCTGAACGTTGGCTCGATTTTGTTTGTCAGAGATCCCATACTAGCTTAGTATTCATGAATAATGCCAGATGCCACCACTGGCTAAATAGCTTCCGTGGAAAACACCTCGATAATAGATCGATAAACTATTTTTTACCAAAAATTGGCCACCATTCAGTACGATTTTTTCTGCAATATGATTACCTTAAGGGCAACTTCGCGATAAGCCAGCAGAAAGTTCGTAGGTAGCAAGGTTAGAAACAGAAGTGTATGTGCTAGTTCACTTGCTCTTGAGGAAAAAAGGAGGGAAAGTCGTCGAAAACGCTTCAAATAAGTCCGTTAGTATTGCTGTGCCTCTCAAGGTTTCCAGGTGGAATCTTTATTTAAAGCTTCAAATAAGGCCCTACTTCTGGTAGGGAAGAGACAGAGAATCGATGTGGATATCGGCAGAGAGGTCAGACAAAGCAGCGAGAGAGTATGCGAACGACCAAGACAGCAGATAAGACGCGAGCGGACTCACTCGAACAATCGTGCCTTGCGCAGCTACCTTACCACTCTCTAACATGAAACTTATGAAGGGTTGCTGATTGCAGTCCACACTTCCTCTCCCTAGGGAAGCTTAGATGATTACGAGTTATCTTAGACTCTGCTTGAATGGAACAGCCTACAGCGAATTATAGAGGTGAATGAGGCTGATCAGTTATCTATGGAGTTGGGGGAGTCACCGGAACGTTTGAGGTTTTTTTAATAATTCCTTAATCATATGAAAAAAAAGTAAAAACTTCTTCGCTTACCAAAGCCATCGGCGTTCGTTTGCCGAAGTAAGGCGAGTAGTACTGTTAAAATCATAAACTCTGAAATTAGTGGAGGTACTGACAAGAACACCGAGTCAAAACATTCTACGTTAGTGAAAGCCTCAATGGATTCTACCATACAAACAGGATCCCTATAAGAATAAAGCCCGAGCTTAAGTTACTGAGGTTGCAAGCATGACACAAGCGGCGCGAGTTTCACACGTTACCAACTTCAGCCGAACTGGTAATCACCTTTTCATTGAAGACATACCCTGCTCTTAAGCAATCCGTAGGATATCTTCCTTGCCCAAGGAGCTTTGGTACTTATAACGGAGCCCCAGCGGACCACTTGGGCAAAGGAGGAATCGCACAAATTGGTTGAGTGCGGGGTCTGTCTATGAAAAAAAATACCGTATGACATGTGACAGGAGGAGCGTAAGGACAATGCAGTTAGTCACGAGCGGTGTGAAATGAGCGAAGCGACCTTCACCAAGGCAGAAAAATAAGTACCGAAAATAAAATAGGACCAACTAGGTCCTGTAAAATCAAAGCAAGTAGAATAGAAGGATGATGCTGGCCAATTAGAACCCTGCTCATTTTGTTTTGCTGTGCAGGGTAGTAATTTGAGGTAGGGATTGGAGCGGCTTCGTCAGCAGTGGTAGGCGTCGGCGTCTATATCGTCGGCTAACGTTGGCTAACGATGGTCTCCAGCAAAAGGCGATTTAGCCCGGTCACTATGGTGAAAGACGGTCAACGTCGCGATAAAAAGCGTTATACGGGCACACCTGTCGCTCTCGCTAACGAGCCAACAGGTGAGAGCCGAGCAACGGCGGCCATCGTAACCTCTCGCCCTCGGGATTCCCTTGAAATTAGCGCGCAAGATATCCCTTCTATGGGTTTTCACTAGAATGCTCTTCTTTCAATTAAATTCTCTAGAAGCCTTTCAAATCGCTTCCTAGAGGTGCCGAGAGGTGTCCAGGGGAAGGTAGGTGACGGATATCGAACGGCTACTTGTAACAAGTTGCTCCTGGTACAATCCTACATATCGTACTTCTTAGAGAACGTTCTCATATGTACGATTAATTCAAAGCACCTCCCTTCTTCAGAATTGTCTAGCTCCAGTACCTACTTTGTTACCTATTTACCTTCCCAGGCCTTAGATTAGAGCTGCTCACGTGTTGTGCAGGATACTGCCCAATTAGTAACACCATACTCCATGCCATCTTTGCCCCTCATCCAAAGATGACAGGTTAATTCTGCAAGTTCCTTAGACAGGCCTGACCCTCTCTTTTTACAGCCGGTATCACCTGAAATACGTTGGGCAGAGATAGGTCACAGCTATGAAGTATGAGCTCTGGTCAATATCCACTACTGTTTGGTTGGGGTATAGGGGTTCTGTCAACCAGACCAGAGGTATTTTCTCGTCGCAATTTTTTTTGGAGGAGAGCAGGAGAGAAGGGAAAAAGGCAGAAGGGAGGAACTCCTAGCGGTTGACGGATATCCCGAAACCTGTTGTCTGACTATAAGTAATATCTTTACAAAAACCAAACAATAAAACAACGAGGTATGGAGTTCCCTGCAGCAATAAGGTATATGAATCCCGTTGACCGTTGGCAGCAGGACAAAATCGCTCGTTCAGAGGCGGAGCATGAGGCTAACCAATATGAGGTCAATACGGGTCGAAACTGTAAGCACCACGTAATCAGTATATGCCGAGGTCAGGAACGATAATTATTCTATCCGCCGCAGCACTACCAACAATCATACATTTTATAATAAATGATAAATCAATCATACGACGGCACACTACGATGGCATTCCTATCGCGCAAAGGATCAAATGGACCTTGAAATTACGTATAGGTTGGTAGAACGTTTCCAGTATAAATGAGCCGGTTAATCTGGAAGAAGCTTCCTTCTGGTTAGCAAAAGGGATACTGCCACAAAAGTCTTAGATTTCTCAACTTTGATAAGTAGAGCACAGCATCGAGTTGTGTGAGCGGTGTTTGTACAGCCCTCCCCCGAATTTCCTGCTCCGAAACCCTCCCTCCCTCTTTTCTGTCTCTTACTGGAATCTTCACAAGTGTTCCCAACTTCCTACCTTCTTCTCAGTTGTCCTCCAAAAAACTGCCGGCGTGAGTGGGCGGGGGATGAGGGAAACGTCACCAATCAAGTCCTAGAAATCGGCTATTAAAAACATGATTGGAGTTTTGAAGAGTCGCCAACTAGTAGCCGCCAACTAATAATGTGGTATATAGGCGGATATAGCGAAGCAGATGAAACAGCGAAAGCGGTGAAGCCAGAATGAAATCAGAAAATTCCTTCGCGGCTCGTATAGCTTTTCTCAAAAGCCAATACGACGCACCTCCCAAGCGATCACACATTATCCCCTCCGGACTGATGAGATTCTCTCAACGACTCTGTATCGTGTTGTTCTCCCTAAAGTCAGTCGTCGCCAATGCCAGGGCTTCCCTCATTGGGTGGTTCCGAGCCTTTTCAACACATACCCATAACACCGTAATCGCTGCTCTCCTGCCTTCAGCTGGATCCTCGTGCGTGACCACCCTGACGTTCTAGTTTCTGAGTCTATCCCGTCGGTTCCAGCCGCGGACCCATCTTCGCATCTTCATTTCAGTGTACTGGAGCTGCTCCTCATGTATCCTACATATTGGTCAGCACAGGCTCCTGTTGTGCATCGCAGGTTTTACCACTGCCTAGCACACCTTTCCCCGAGCGTTCTGGAGCGCCATCGACCGCATAGGATATCGCTGGTTCTCTTCATTTCATCCATGACGCGTTTTTGGATCGTCTACCACCTCGTCTTTGCAGCCACCATCCCAACATTAATAGGAGAATGGAGTTCTTGCGTGTCAATCAGCATACTACGCTTTCATTTATAAGGAGGGGACTGTAGCATGAGATTGAAGGTCGCGTCTCCGTAGAGTTTCCGCATCGCGTCTCCGTAGAGTTTCCGTAGACCTTCATAGGTAAAAACGTGGCTTTGTACTCCGAGCCGAAGCTCACTAGTGTCAAATATTTACGAACCTAGATGAGAAGTAGCCCGAATTTGGCATGAGGAGTTACGTGGGCCCGAGCGACTAATCCTTATGGCAAGAGATCCCTGCACTGTAGCTTCCAAGCGACTCTTGACAGAACAGTACTATAACTGTCGAGGTGCCTGTTGCGTGCCTGTTCCTCGACAATCAGGTCGACATATGGATAGTACCACACAATAAAGAGAAAAAAGGCAATCATTGCTTTGCTACTTGCCAAGTACCCAGTTACCGTATTATGGGCAGTGCTCGGACGCAAGCAATACTGAGAGCTGGGTTCAATCGCCTTATTCGCCCGACCTACAGCCTTGCAGTTCCACCTGTTCTGGTCAGTTGAAGATACTGTCCAAGGCATACGCCAGGTTTTGCCATTTGCCGAGATCGGTGTCAAGTGCAATTTACTCGCTTTTTTTGAAAAAAAACGAAGGTGCCAGTGGTCCAAACACTCCCAGGTCACTGGGAGCGGGTCACTGATGAAAGAAGGGTCTACTTAATTTGAAGCCAAAATATTGATTTTTTTATCCACGTTCCTCATCGTTTTATTTGAATAAAACCTTCCGTTTTTGTATGAGATGACCTAAACAATAACAGAGTTGTTAGCACCGACAGTACAACATCTATCTTCGGTTTCAGGGTGAATAGCAGGTTGATTCACAGACCTGTCCTTGAAAAACAATAGGTATTGTTTTACCTGATTGATTATCATTCTTCCTTCTCCTCTCTATCCCTAAATGATCAAGCTCTGGGCTTTTTTTCTAGCAGATCTCACCTGCCGTTTGTAGCAATCATGTGCTTTCCCCCTCGAATACGGTTGCGGGTGCGCTCAATCGCAATTACTCACATGTTAATTCCACATTCGCTGCGCACCTGGCTCTTGACCAGAACATTTCGTAAGGCTATCAATCCCTCGCTAAATGAGGGCAAAACGAGCGGAATTAGCACCGCAATCAACCGCGCTATGCAGCACACCCATAGTGTCTACAAAATGCTGCGATTTCACCATTGAGCAGTAAAAGTATTCTTTGATATGGGAACATTTGCGCAGGATAAACTTTGGCGCTGCCTGGCTAGGGGAAAGGACATTCTGCACTTCCGCTGTTCCGCTTTGCTAGTTGAAGACAGGCTACAGTATCGTCAGGAGAGTCCCATCGGGGTGTCAAACATGGCTTTGGGGAGGAGCTGTACCCAAATGACAGCGCTGCAGAGCTTTTATACAATTACTATTTCTGGTAGTTGACTTTGGTAGCTGGTTGGTGATGACCTAGCTCGACGGCAGTTCTTCTTGAAAAACCGGGGAATTTTTTCGGAAAAACTGGTAGAGATCTGGAAGGATCTGGAATGACTGGAAGATGGCAGGTAGGATGGGAAAGGGGGATCGATCATAGTGAAGCGGAAATTCAGTAGGGAGGTCACTTTGTTGAGACCTGTGAACCATTGGAAAGCGGGGATGTGAGCTACTTCTGTCAAAGGAGATTACACGTTTCCGCGAGATGCCCTGTATAAGCTTGACTCAGAACCACTTAACGCCCACACTAAGCCGAATTCCGCCTATCTTTGCCAGAACTTGAAATATACCAGTTTAGGATGAAAGGAACCCAAGACAGGGTGAGTCTTCATCAAAAGGAAATCAGTTTTTCTAACATATCAGACTACTTGAACCTAGGCCGCCCTCTCCCGCCCTACCCTCCCCCACGTGGGGCACGCCTTAAACGTTGTTTCTTCTAGCGGTGAGAATCCTTTCTACTCAACTACCACATGCTAATAAAGTCCAGCGCTGGCCAGGGTGAAGGGAGGGGGGGGGTGCAGGGGCGGTCGTGAAACGGGGATCGTCAACAATTAAAAAAATTGTCACAACAATCGCGACCCCACCTCTGCCGTCGAGGGAAGCTTCAACACAACCGGCCGACCTGCCACGGCTCATGGTTATTTCTTTGGTGGAGAGAGGCGCGGATATCTTATTCTCAGTAACAGTGCGAGGCTCTGAAAACTTATTTAAAAATTTCGAAGGATCCTATAAAAGCACTTCTGAGGTTTCAGACGAGTGAAAATACACTTTCATTTCAGCTTTTCATGCTGAAGAATAAAACACGAAAGAGAATTAAAGCTTTTACAAGCACCAAGCCTGTGCTGGCAACCGTTAGAGAAAAAATGCATGAAGGCACTATAAACCTAGTCAAACCTTTTATCAGGATCGAGCGCGCGTCGTCCAACCCCGCCCTCTGTGACCTGATGGCGGCAATTTCTCCCGAATTTTCCCGTTTCAGGTGGGCTGTATACTCACCTTTAGCCCCCCCCCCTGTTGCCTGTTTACAGAATTCCTAAGTCATCGTAAGTATCCGTATTCCTGGTCACTTTGCTTCTTCGATAGCTGATCGGAGGTATCCCCCCCCCCCTTCCGCTTTCGAAGGATACGGGGGTCTCATCTGTGAGAGGAACTGAAGAGGGAGGGAGGAATTTTTTCGACACCATGCTTGAACCCCCACGCCCCTCCCCCACCACGGCTTATACTTGAAGTTACCCCAAACGCAGGAAAAAAAACAGGTTAATCTCAGGAACTACTGCTAAAGTTGCTACTAGCGACACAAAAAATAATTACAGAAGAATTAGCGGAGACGCCAAAGTTGTAAGTTAGATGAGCCCAAAGACTCAACTTATTCTTCATCCTTGCTTGATTCTACCTGCAATAACAACATAGTTCCAAACAGATTTCTCCAATGTTTATCCTTCATTTTTCATGTCAAAATAATATAAAAGCAAAAAAAAGCATAAATAAAAATGAAAGGTCAGCAAAGGAAAGAGATGAAAATGAAGAACCAGTCATTTGTTTTTGTTCTAGTTCACATACTATGTACTTGTTGGAGTTCGTTCCCGTTAAAGCTCATCCCGTTGTACTTAATAGTTATACTACAATGGTTTCCTTGTCTTACTCCAAAACGGTCTACTATTACTGTGAAAGCGCTACAGAAGTCAAGACAGTTTAGCAGTCCTTGAAAATTTAGTCACGATAATGCAAGTAGTCTCAGAGTAAATCACACTTACAACATTAAGCAAGCAAAAAACGCAAAATAGTAATATATCACCCAGCCTAGTAGATATGTCGTCGGCCTTTGGCCATTCTCAGAGGCGAATTCGTTCACACAAGAAAAATTACTATTCACACCGAATAAAACATCAATTATTAGATCTAAAAAACAGTCATCATCGGGACCATCGGAACCGGTTCTGATCAAATTACTATCGAGTCTTCATCCGCACTGCAGCTTCCAGCAAGGTCACCCGGCTCACCAGCGTGTCCATTGGCATTGCTCACGTCCTTAATGCAAAAACGTTTTATTGTGTCGCTAGGGAGGGGTTTAATGATTATTTTGCCAGGGCTTCTCTCTAAAATAAAAAAGACAAAAATTCATCAGCAACAGTGTATTGAAGGCAGTGGACAAAGGGGAGTGCCTGACTCTGTGAAACAGGGCACATCCTATGTTGGGGAACCCCAGCCAGAGGGGTGGGGTGTACACAGTTGACCGATGTGAGGAGGTAGGGGTCGTACTTGCCTTTAAGAAGAACTTTTTCGGTTGTTGGTCAATCTCGATTTTTCCTGTTTCAAAGGCATAAGGCACGACAAATCAGTACTTCCGTCTAAAGGGCAGCAGAGGTGCTGGAAAAATGGTGAAAGAGCGAAGTGAAACAGTCCAAAACTGCAAACATCGTTCTACACGACTTAGAAAGCATTTTTGGACGAATTTTCCGTTGGCATTGTGCCAATAACCGTTACGGTGGTTATTGGCACGATGCCAACGGAACCGTTATGGCTGCATGTATGTACTTATGTATCCATGCAGCCCCTTTATGTCAATCCCTTCGCTTCATATTTTACCACGAAAATGGGCACGAGCATCAGTATCAGTCGGACATTTATGGGCGGGCGGGCGCGGTTGGGCCCAGATCAGAATGTTACAGCTTGATAGGGCGCCATAAGGGTACAGGGTTTACATACTTCGCTTGAAATAAGCGCCTCGCAGCGCCTGCTCAGGGGCGCCGACTGCTGTCCTGCTAGCGCATTGATCCTATACGTCTTGGGGATTTATTGTAACACCTGCCTTTGAGCGCGCTATGCACCCCTTTCCCGTTCAACAACAGTTTTTTTTGGGAAACAGTGAAAAAGTGGAAGACATTTTGGAAAAAACGCCTGAAAGTAGAAGGAAAAGGAAAATGAAAAATGATAGGCACGGTATAAAAAGTGGAAGGGGGTATCGTGCCAAGCAAAGAAAATCTGAAGGGGTAGTATTTTGCAGAACCTTTCCTTAACGGCAGGACGTACCTGCTGTGGAATTCACTACACCCCGCCTTCCTCTCTGTTACGCCCCTGTTCCACCAAAAGCACTTCCTGTCGTGAGAGAAATTTCCGGAAAATGCTCCTCCCCTCCCCTCCTACGCTACCTATCACCTCCATCGCTCCAAATTTTTCAACTTCCTACCACTGCACCGACGTACGACGTGCCCTGGTTTCACACCGTCCTCACCCTTTGACACCCTACGCTTAATTTGAGCGTTTATTCTCTCCACATGCTATATATAGCTAGTGCTTGAAGGGTTATGTTAACGGGATACCGGAAAACTGTGGAGCGGCCGCGGAACCTTCCTATATTCATTGCCCACATATCTTAGCGTGGAACCGCTTGATATTATTTTTGTATTATTAACTGCGAGAACGACAGGAACTAACTCGTTCCTACGTATTGAGAAGTATCAGTGAAAAAACTGGCTTCAAAAACTCGCTCAAAAATCACATTTTTTGGTACTGCAGTTGCACGGATGATGTGTGGATTCTGATGAATCAGTCGTTGCGTTGCTGCCGATGCTACAGAGCGACTGGATGAGTCTCGTGGGCACAGTGAAGCTGCAAGGAAAAAAAATACTTTATTTTTGAGTCTAGCTTTCGCTGGGGTTCCTCATGAATTAATAACTAATTGGTCATTGCAACAATTATCGTTAAGAAGTTGTATTGTGGAAAACTCTGAAAGTTTCATTTACCGGCCCTCTTGAGCACGGGTTCTGGTACCTTTTTCAACATTCTGGAGATTTTGTGGCCCAATAAATGGTATACCTCTGGAGACCAACGTGCTAGTACAACTGACTCACGTTGATTGACCACTTCACTGCACTCAGTTAGTCGAAGAGCTGGAGCAGATTGTGTACCACTTCGAGTGTACTTTCGATCTGGTGATTGATGCAGCTGAAACGGTTCTTTTGTGTTCTTACCTATACTTGGAGGACCTGCCTTTCATGCACTTTTCTTTGGCTTTTGGCGCGTCGCCAAGACGTTCTCCACCAGCTGTTGCCACTTGCGCCAACAGTTGGTGGAGAGTCGGTTGGCACCGCGCCCATCTCAGTCTCTCTGACAGGCCCCAGCATGCGCAGCGAACAAGGCTGTACAAGATCATCGAAGTTGGACACTTCAACAGTCAGAGTGAAACGGAATTGAACTATCCCTTAAAACAGAAGTGAACTGCCCCTGACTGTTGCTGCCTCCCCACACCCCTTGCGCTATCTTCAAGAGGCAGCATTTCTGTCGATACCTAATCCCGCAGGGAAACCAGCACTAGAAGGTGGAGAACATCAAGGAGTGGGAGAGCACCATCAACGCGCCTGGCTGGCCGTACGGTCTGTGGGCAGAATATGGAGACGGCATTCGAGCATCGTACCCCTCCAGCCCCGTATCCGTGCACTTCTGGAAGGAATGAGGGCACAGTACTGCAGCTGCGGACCCTATCCCACACAAAGGATCCACGGAAGTTAGTCTACAGCAGGAACCTTTGACGAAAGCAAGACGTGCAAAATCTGCTCAAGCATCAGCTTGA